CCCCTCCCCCCAATCTCAGGGCCGGGGCCTGGCTTGCCCCAACGGGGCCCCTTCCCCCAATCTCGGGGCTGGGGCCCAGCTCTCCCCAACGGGGTCCCTCCCCCCCATTCTCAGAGCCAGGGCTCGGCTATCCCCGACAGGCCCCTCCCCCCAGTCTCAGGGCCGGGGCCTGACTCTCCCCAAAGGGCCCCTTCTCTCTGACAGCTCCCAGCCCTTGCACTGCTGATGCCTTTTGTCCTGCAGGCAGCTGAGCTGGCCATTAAATTCTTGGGCCAGCCCCGGAGTGTGGAGGTGACGCGGCTGGTGGGACCCCAGCTGGTGGCCGTGAAGAAGTACAGCGCGGTACGGGCTGCTGCTGTCAGCGCAGTGCTGAAGGGAGGGAGGTGTTAATGTCAGTGGGATGAACGATGAAGGGGTGACTTGGTTACAGTCTGTGGGTACCTACATGGGGAACAAACATTTAATAACATGCTCTTCAGTCTAGCAGAGACAGGGCTAACGCGCCCATGGCTGGAAGCTGAAGCTAGAATTCAGCCTGGCAATAAGGTGTGAATGTTTAGCAGTGAGAGTCATTAACTACTGGAACAACTTGCCAAGAGTCGTGGAGTCCTGATTTCCCACCTCGTCTCCATATAAGGAGCTCCAAAGGGTCTGGGGTGGAATGACGCGTCCCCTCCTTCTGTCCACCAATTATGTCTCATTTCCCACACCCCAGTTTGGGTCCATTGATTTCAGATTCCATTCTCCTTTGCTTCTCAGTCGCCATCTCAGCACAGTCCTTGGGAGGGATCAGGAGCTCCTGTGGTGGGACCAGTTCACTCTGTCTTTGATCTTTGCTGACTTGTATAAACAGCTTTATGTATCAGCTAGAATTGGATGCCTTCGGGTCCAGGCCTCTGCACAACAGCGGGGGAAGTGAGGAGGGAGGGCTGGAGGCAGTGCAGTCTCTGCATGTCGACCGGTGGGGCGAGAAGGGAAGGGGGCATCGTGCTCCAGAGAAGGAGGCGGGCGCTGTGTCCTGAGGCTAGGAGTATGAAATATTGGGTGAGCCAATCACCATAGTGTGCTTGGATTTTCAGAAAGCCTGTGACAGGGTCCCCCACCAAAGGCTCTTGAGCAAAGTAAGGAGTCATGGGATAAGAGGGAAAGTCCTCTCATGGGTCAGTAACTGGTTACAAGATAGGAAACAAAGAGTAGGAATTAGTGGCCAGTCTTCACAATGGAACAGTGAGGTGGCCAAATTTGCAAATGATACAAAATTCACTCCCCTTGAAACCTCTGGCATTGGCCTGTGTGAGCAGACAGGACCTGGGCTAAATGCAGCATTGCCCGGGGGCTGCAGTCAGGGCTCTGGCCCCATGGGTGTGGGCTCCATACAAGTGGGCGCAGATGGCCTCTGGCCTTGGAGCTCCAGGTGACAATGCCCAAGTGTGACCCTGCTCCCCTTCTGCAGGCAGCTGAGCTCTACCTCAACCTGGACCTCATCCGAGAAGCCATTGATGCCTTCATTGAGGGTGAGGAATGGAACAAGGCAAAACGTGTGGCCAAGGAGCTCGACCCCAGGTAACCCTCCGTCCTGCCCCCCCCCACTGCCCCCTGCAGGTTCCCCTCCGTCCTGTCCCCCCCCACTGCCCCCTGCAGGTTCCCCTCCGTCCTGTCCCCCCTCACAGCCCCCTGCAGATTCCCCTCTTTCCCCCACTCCCCTACTGTCCCCCAGTCACCCTCAGCCCCATTTCCCCCTACCGCTGTTAAGGCACTTTCAGTCCTACCCCCGTCCCCTTTTGCCTGTCTCCATCCCCTCCCGCCCAGAATGCTCTGGTCCTGTCCCTGCGCACAGTTTTCTACTGCCTTCCCCCCAGGGACCTCCGTGCCTCCTCCCTGCCTCCCTCCCCTCGCAACCTCCTGCCAGGGGTTGGGATGTCTGTCTGCCCTCACCTCCAGGTGCCACAAGGGCCTGCTCCTCCTCCAGGTCCTGGCAGATGCACCTCAGCTGGGTCGCTCCTTGTCCCTGTCACTGCAGCTGCAGTGGGACCCCCACCACCCCCCTGTGCTCCACTCTGGGCGCCTCCCCATGGTGGCCATAGGGCACCCTTGGTTTGGCTGCCAACAAAGTCTCCTTCTGCCCGGCAGGTCGGAGGAGTACGTGGACCAGCGCTATAAGGAGTATTTAAAGCATCAGGGCAAAGTGGATTCGGTATGAATGTTTTTGCCTGGGGCTGGGCAGGGGGCCAGGGTCGTTCTGTACCCAAAGGGCCCTCTCATGGGGCTGGGTGAGGGGGCAGGGCCATTCTGTGCTGGGGGTGGTGCATTGTGTGGGGGTCTGGGTGCTAACGTGCAGGGCAGTGTGATGCATGTGTGGCTGGGTGCCCATGCTAGGGGACAGTGGAGGGCTAGGTGCCTGTGCTGAGGAACGGTGTGATGCGTGGGGGCTGGGTGCCCATGCTGGGGGGCAGTGGGGAGCTGGGTGCCCGTGCTGGGGGGCAGTGGAGGGCTAGGTGCCCATGCTGGGGAATGGTGTGATGTGTGGGGGCTGGGTACCCGTGCCGGGGACAGGTGTGGGGCCTGGGTGCCTGTGCTGGGGAGCTGTGGGGGGTTGGGTGCCCGTGCTGGGGGGCGATGGGGGGTTGGGTGCCCGTTCTGGGGAGCAGTGGGGGGCTGGGCACCCATGCTTGGGAGGGGGGTTGGGTGCCCATGCTGGGGAGCAGTGGGGGGCTGAGCGCCCACCCCAGGGGGCACCTCCCCTGCTCAATGCGTTCTCAGGGTGTCTTGGCTCTCTCCTGTTACAGCTAGTGGGGGTGGATGTCATGGCTGCCCTGGACATGTATGCGGAGCGGGAGCAGTGGGAGAAGTGCCTGGAGACCGCGGCCAAGCAGGTACCGCTCCAGCCCTGGGCACTGTGCTCACAGCTCTGCCCCGCTGCGCAGGCCAGGCTGGACCATCCCTGACAGGGGTTTGTCCAACCTGCTTTTAAAACTCCCCAATGATGGAGATTCCACAACCTCCTTGGGCAATTTATTCCAGTGCTTAACCACCCTGACAGTTAGGAAGTTTCTTCCTAATGTCCAACCTTAACCTCCCTTGCTGCAATTTAAGCCCATTGCTTCTTGTCCTATCCTCAGAGGTTAAGAAAAACAATTTTTCTTCCTCCTCCTTGTAACAACCTTTCACATACTTGAAAACTCTTATCATGTCCCCTCTCAGTCTTCTCTTTTCCAGACTAAACAAACCCAATTTTTTCAATCTTCCCTCATAGGTCATGTTTTCTAGACCTTTAATCATTTTTGTTGCTCTTCTCTGGACTCTCTCCAATTTGTCCACATCCTTCCTGAAATGTGATGCCCAGAACTGCAGAGAGGCTATAAAAATAAAAAACTCAAAAATAATGGGGGATTTCAGCGATCCCCATATAGATTGGGTACATGTCACCTCAGGACGGGATGCAGAGATAAAGTTTCTTGACACCTGAAATGACTGCTTCTTGGAGCAGCTAGTCCTGGAACCCACCAGAGGAGAGACAATTCTTGATTTAGTCCTAAGTGGAGCACAGGATCTGGTCCAAGAGGTGAATATAGCTGGACCACTTGGTAATAGTGACCATAATATAATTAAATTTAAGATCCCTGTGGCGGGGAAAACACCACAGCAGCCCAACACAGTAGCATTTAATTTCAGAAAGTGGAACTACACAAAAATGAGGGCGTTAGTTAAACAGAAATTAAAAGGTTCAGTGCCAAAAATAAAATCCCTGCAAGCTGCGTGGAAACTTTTTAAAGACGCCATACTAGAGCCTCAACTTAACTGTACACCCCAAATTAAACAACATAGTAAGAGAACCAAAAAAGTGCCACCGTGGCTAAACAACAAAGTAAAAGAAGCAGTGAGTTACAAAAAGGCATCCATTAAAAAGTGGAAGTTAATTCCTAATGAGGAAAATAGAAAGGAGCATAAACACTGGCAAATGAAGTGTAAAAATACAATTAGGAAGGCCAAAAAAGAATTTGAAGAACAGCTAGCCAAAGACTCCAAAAGTAATAGCAAAAAAAAAAATGTAAGTACATCAGAAGCAGGAAGCCTGCTAAACAACCAGTGGGGCCACTGGATGATCGAGAGGCTAAAGGAGCACTCAAGGATGACAAGGCCATTGCAGAAAAACTAAATGAATTCTTTGCATCAGTCTTCGTGGCTGAGGCTGTGAGGGAGATTCCCAAACCGGAGCCATTCTTGTTAGGTGACAGATCTGAGGAACTGTCCCAGATTGAGGTGTCATTAGAGGAGGTTTTGGAACAAATGGACAAACTAAACAGTAATAAGTCTCCAGGACCAGATGGTATCACTCGAGAGTTCTGAAGGAACTCAAATGTGAAATTGCAGAACTCCTAACTGTAGATTGTAACCTATAATTTAAATCAGCTTCTGTACCAAATGACTGGAGGATAGCTAATGTGATCCTAATTTTAAAAAAGGGCTCCAAAGGTGATCCCGGCAATTATAGGCCGGTAAGCCTGACTTCAGTACCGGGCAAACTGGTTTAAACTATAGTAAAGATCAAGATGGTGAGACACATAGATGCACATGATTTGCTGGGGAAGAGTCAACATGGTTTTAGCAAAGGGAAATCGTGCCTCACCAATCTACTAGAATTCTTTGAGGGGGTCAACAAGCATGTGGACAAGGAGGATCCAGTGGATATAGTGTATTTAGATTTTCAGAAAGCCTTTGACAAGGTCCCTCACCAAAGGCTCTTAAGCAAAGTAAGCTGTCATGGGAAGAGGGAAGATTCTCTCATGGAAACAAAGGGTAGAAATAAATGGTGTTTTCAGAATGGAGAGACGTAAATAGTGGTGTCCCCCAAGGATCTGTACTGGGCCCAGTCCTAGTCAACATATTCATAAATGATCTGGAAAAAACGGTAAACAGTGATGTGGCAAAATTTGCAAATGATACAAAACTACTCAGGATAGTTAAGTCCCAGGCAGACTGTGAAGAGCAACAAAAGGATCTCACAAAACTGGGTGACTGGGCAAGAAAATGGCAGGAGAAATTCAGTGTTGATAAATGCAAAGTAATGCACATTGGAAAACATAATCCTAACTATACCTATAAAATGATAGGGTCTAAATTAACTGTTATCACTCAAGAAAGAGATCGTGGAGTCATTGTGGATAGTTCTCTGAAAACATCCGCTCAATGTGCAGCGGCAGTCAAAAAAGCGAACAGAATGTTGGGAACCATTAGAAAAGACAGAAAATATCATATTGCCTCTATATAAATCCATGGTACGCCCACATAGAATCATAGAATATCAGGGTTGGAAGAGACCTCAGGAGGTCATCTAGTCCAATCCCCTGCTCAAAGCAGGACCAACCCCAACTAAATCATCCCAGCCAGGGCTCTGTCAAGCCTGACCTTAAAAACCTCTGAGGAAGGAGATTTCACCCCCTCCCTAGGTAACCCATTCCAGTGCTTCACCACCCTCCTAGGGAAATAGTTTTTCCTAATATCCAACCTAAACCTCCCCCACTGCAACTTGAGACCATTACTCCTTGTTCTGTCATCTGCCACCACTGAGAACAGTCTAGATACATCCTCTTTGGAACCCCCCCTCAGGTAGTTGAAGGCTGCTATCAAATCCCCCCTCACTCTTCTCTTCTGCAGACTAAACAAGCCCAGTTCCCTCAGCCTCTCCTGATAAGTCATGTGCCCCAGGCCCCGATCATTTTCTTTGCCCTCCGCTGGCCTCTCCCCAATTTGTCCACATCCTTTCTGTAGTGGGGCCACCAAAACTGGACACAGTTCTCCAGATGTGGCCTCACCAGTGCCGAATAGAGGGGAATAATCACTTCCCTCGATCTGCTGGCAATGCTCATACTAATGCAGCCCAAAATCATAGAATCATAGAATATCAGGGTTGGAAGGGACCTCAAGAGGT